ACCTCAAAGATCTTCTGCAAACCATCCGACGCATTAGGAGGGGTCGACGGGACATGGCTCCTTGCTGTTCTCAGTAACGGTGGCGTAACATTGAGAGGTGGACAGAACAATTTGAGGAGCTCCTCAACCCCGTGGACATGCCCTCCTCTCGGAAAGCAGCCCTGGAAACAGCTGAGGGGATGAGATACATGATAGCTGCTGAAGTCACTGTGGCGGTCACAGGCCTTCGTAGCAGCAAAGCTGCTAGAATGGACGAAATTCACCCAGAGTTCATATTCTTAGTTTTTTCGGTAAAGTCACGTTGAAGAGAAACAACAAAATAACAAAATATATATAAAACAATAAAAAATTCTCACGACGTTTCGACCATAACTCAAACGGTCATCATCAGGTGTGTCGGTTTGCATAAATTTATTTTGAAAACGGCATATTTATTTATTTATATATATAAAAATAACGTTTGCGTCACGCGCAACGATTGGCTGTTTGCCAGGACTAGTCCATCTATTTTTTGAAAAGAGGAGGGGGGAGACGAAATTTGTTTTTATGTATGCTGTCTGAAAGGCACTGTAAGCGTGAACAATCAATCAAGAACTGAAATGATTTATCAAATCTTTCCAATGATTGCTAAGATAGAATCCATCTTCTCGGTTGAAATTGTCTCTGTGTTTGTATATGTGGATAGCCTCATGAACGAATCTCTCATGGAAGCCAGATGGCTTACAAAGAACCTCCGTCTTGGAAAAGTCAATGGCATGTGAGCCTACTGAATTAGAACAATGATCTGCTACGGCCGAGGTGTTGGTCCTACCGTGTTTAAGGTCTGCTTTATGTTCACGAATGCGGTCCGAGATATGGCGTTTGGTTTCTCCAATGTAACTACTACCACAGAGGCAACTTAGTTTGTAGACACCAGGGTATTGTATGTCCGGAATCACATCTTTTACAGACGGAACCAGATCACGGATTTTATGTAATGTGTTGAAACGGACCTGGATCTTGTGTTTATTCAAGATTTTGGAGATCTTTTTTGTGATCCCAGCAATGTAGGGTAAAGTGATGGTTTTGAAAGGCTCCTCAAGAGGGTTCTTCTTCATGGTTTGAGTGATAGCTTTGCGGATTGTATAGTCGGAGTAACCATTAGCCCTAAGAGCCTGGTGTACGTGCTTGAGTTCACTGCTTATGTGTTCCTGGTCGGATATGCATTGGGCTCTATGATACAGAGTCTTGATGAGAGAATTCTTCTGTGATGGATGGTGGTGGGAATCCGGTTTCAGATAAGCATCCGTATGGGTAGCTTTCCTGTAGACAGAGTGGCTCATTGAACCATCAGGTCTCTTTTTAATTAGGACATCCAAAAAGGTATCTTGCCATCTATTTCGACTTCCATGGTAAATCTGATGGCTGGGTGTATGGAATTGATGTGGTCGTTGAAACCTTCTGCTGCCAGGCCACCAAGATTATACGGCTTACCAAAAATACATAAAGTTGATACACCTCTTCGTCCCATAGTCTCTACTATCAGCTCCCCCACCTACAAACTAGCTCGTTTTTTGTCTGAAATCCTGCGTCCTTTCACTGGAAAGACCACCTCTGCGGTACAAAATTCTACTCACCTGGTATCAACAATCAAGGGTATTTCCCTGTCCCCAGACGACCTGCTTGTCAGTTTTGATGTAGTTTCCTTGTTCACCAAGGTTCCTGTACCTGACACCATTGCAATCATTGAAGACTTGGTTCATCAAGGACTAAACGCTGAGGTACCCCCCCTGGTGAGACACTGTTTAACCAATACATACTTCACTTGGAATGGAACTTTCTACAAACAAACTGAGGGCACCCCAATGGGCTCCCCCCTTTCTCCAGTTATAGCTAACATTTTCATGGAGAAATTTGAGACTGACGCCATCCAGACTGCCACTCTGCGCCCAACCTTGTGGAAGAGGTACGTGGATGACACTTTTGTCATCTGGCCACATGGCCGGCCTGCTCTAGACCAATTCTTCGACCACATCAATTCCATACACCCAGCCATCAGATTTACCATGGAAGTCGAAATAGATGGCAAGATACCTTTTTTGGATGTCTTAATTAAAAAGAGACCTGATGGTTCAATGAGCCACTCTGTCTACAGGAAAGCTACCCATACGGATGCTTATCTGAAACCGGATTCCCACCACCATCCATCACAGAAGAATTCTCTCATCAAGACTCTGTATCATAGAGCCCAATGCATATCCGACCAGGAACACATAAGCAGTGAACTCAAGCACGTACACCAGGCTCTTAGGGCTAATGGTTACTCCGACTATACAATCCGCAAAGCTATCACTCAAACCATGAAGAAGAACCCTCTTGAGGAGCCTTTCAAAACCATCACTTTACCCTACATTGCTGGGATCACAAAAAAGATCTCCAAAATCTTGAATAAACACAAGATCCAGGTCCGTTTCAACACATTACATAAAATCCGTGATCTGGTTCCGTCTGTAAAAGATGTGATTCCGGACATACAATACCCTGGTGTCTACAAACTAAGTTGCCTCTGTGGTAGTAGTTACATTGGAGAAACCAAACGCCATATCTCGGACCGCATTCGTGAACATAAAGCAGACCTTAAACACGGTAGGACCAACACCTCGGCCGTAGCAGATCATTGTTCTAATTCAGTAGGCTCACATGCCATTGACTTTTCCAAGACGGAGGTTCTTTGTAAGCCATCTGGCTTCCATGAGAGATTCGTTCATGAGGCTATCCACATATACAAACACAGAGACAATTTCAACCGAGAAGATGGATTCTATCTTAGCAATCATTGGAAAGATTTGAAAAATCATTTCAGTTCTTGATTGATTGTTCACGCTTACAGTGCCTTTCAGACAGCATACATAAAAACAAATTTCGTCTCCCCCCTCCTCTTTTCAAAAAATAGATGGACTAGTCCTGGCAAACAGCCAATCGTTGCGCGTGACGCAAACGTTATTTTTATATATATATAAATAAATAAATATGCCGTTTTCAAAATAAATTTATGCAAACCGACACACCTGATGATGACCGTTTGAGTTATGGTCGAAACGTCGTGAGAATTTTTTTATTGTTTTATATATATTTTGTTATTTTGTTGTTTCTCTTCAACGTGACTTTACCGAAAAAACTAAGAATATGAATTACTGCAGTCACGAAAGCTTTAAATCAAAATTCACCCAGAGTTGTTGAAAATGCTGGACAGTGTAGGGGTGGTGTGGTTAACAAGCCTCTTCAATGTTGCATGAAAGGCGACAAGTACAGTACCTCTGGATTGGTAAACTGGAGTCGTGGTTCCCATTTAAAAAAAAGAGGGCTAGAGGGTGTGCTTCAACTAAAAAGGGGTCACACTCTTCAGCGTCCCAGGTAAAGCCTTTGCTAGAGTTCAGGAGAGGAGGCTTTGGCCAATTTATTGATCCTCAGATTCAGGAGGAACAATGCGGATTCCGTCAGGGTCATGGAACAATTTACCGGCTCTTTTCTTTCTCACAAATATATAAGGGGTCATGGGAGTATGCTTCTCCAGTCTACCTTTGCCGCTTTTGTGTGCGATCTGGTCCCTCTATTACTGGAGTGAGTGTTGTGTCAGTTTTCTTAGTATCAAATCAAAGTTGTTAACTTTGGGTGTTGGACTCTGCCAAGGGTGCGTCTTCTCCAATCCAGTTTGATTTTCTTGGACAGGATGTTAAGGCGCAGCCGAGGTATGGAGATATCCAGTACGGAGGCATAGAGGTGGCATCGCTGCTTTTTGCAGATGACGTTGTCCTTTTTGCCTCATCAGTCTGTAATCTCCAGCGTGCACTTGAACGTTTTGATGCCGAGTATGAAGCGGCTGAGATGAGGATCAGCGCCACCAAATCTGAGGTCATGGTTCACTCCCGGGAGACTGTTTTCTCTCTACGTGAGGAGGGAACAGCTGCCTTTAATAGAGGAGTTTAAGTATCTCCGGGTTTATTTCCCGAGTGATGGTAGGTGGGAGCAGGAGAACGGCCGGTGGATTAGTGCGGCGATCCAAGTGTTGCAGGAACTGTACCGTTCCATGGTAGTGAAGCGGAAAGTCAGTTCTCGTACAAAGCACTCGCTTTACAGGAAGATCTATGTTCCCACATTCCCCCTGGAACTCTCCTGGGAATGTTCCACTGGGCGAAGACTCCGGGGCCGACCCAGGGCACGCTGGAGGGACTATGTCACTTGGCTGGCCTGGGAATGTCTGGGAATTCCCCACGAAGTGCTCGTGTCTGTCACCAGGGAAATGGACGTTTAGTTCGTCCCAATCAACATTCTGCCGCCGCAACCCTTACCAGGAGAAGCGGCTTGAGGAACGAACAAACTCATGCATGCGACAATGCAAAAAGGCTCAAAGCAATACCGTTGAAGACATGAAATATAGACCCAATTACGTAATTATCCTTGCTATTAGAATGTACAACACCAAATGGGTGATTCATTAATACATCACTATTTGTGCACATTCAATAAAAAAATGTTTAAATAGTAATTTACGCTACAGTGTGTCTGCTTGACAGTTGGGTGAGTGTCATGAGAGTAAAAGTGTTCCTGCATTCCCTCACGCTCTTGAAGCCGAATCTCTCGTGTTTATTCTTGCATTTAACAGCCGATTTGCTGTCATATTTCATCATCTTCACTCATTTAATGTCTAGTTTCTAATTCAATAGAATAATTGCTCCATACTGTGTTATTTTATCTCACACATTGCAAGTCATTCGAGTTATTCTACGACATGCTTTGCAGTCTCACCAGATATGAACCTTTTTTTCCATCAACGTTGCATTTGTTTACATTTACATTTCAAGCACCCATAGCCATAATAATAGTTGAATATCCTGCACAGTTATTACACATTGACTCAAACTACCAAAGTTTACTTGAGTCTATGGAGTTGTTCTCACAGGGAGAGTCACATACTCTAAGCAGGGTGGAGGTCACGAGTTCACATAGCCCATGCATGGTACCTGCATGTCCTTGTGGGCGTCCTTCATCCGTCCCATGGACGCCTCTGCCTCTCTCCTCTTCTCCTCCACCTCTCGCATCTCCTCTCCGACTCCATTCTGTAAGAGACGAAGTCACCGGAGGAGACTCCACTCACTGAGCGACTCTCTCTCAGCCCTGCTCCACACGAAACGCTCTACTGTGATGGCCAGGAAGTCGGCCCAGACTGACTGAAAAAGTCGAAAAGGGCAAGGGACCATGCGAGCTAAACAACTTATGTTGATGTTCGTTGCATGAGATGTTTCTAATAATCCCAGTGACACTGATTATTTACTGCCCATGTTGTTATGGCCAGTAACAGCTTTTATTAGGTAGAGTTGCTCTTTCGTTGTTTCTGTATCTGAGTAGCTCTCACTCCGTGAGGGCCTCACCTTACGTGTCTCGTGCTCATCCTTGAGCGTGATTACCCGATGTCCTATGTGGTCTCCTGCGATGGTGCAGTCCCTGCACACGAGGCTCTCATCCTGCTTACAGAAGAACCTGTAGGGGTCTCCATGCTGCTGGCAACTTCGCTCCTCCAGGCTGACAATGGGAGCCACCAGGACGTGGTCCATCAATCTCGGGTTCAGGTGAGGTTTCAGGTGGGGCTCACAGAAGGAAGTCTCACACCTGAGGCAGGTCTTCACTGCACGAGTCTCCCCATCACCACAGGTGTCACAGAAGACAACTGCGGCCATCCTCTCTCCAACTCTGAGCTGCTCCACCAGGTTTGCGAGCGCCACGTTCCTCTTCAGCTGGGGTCGCTCAGGGAAGGCCGCTCGGCACTGCGGGCAGCTGAAGCTGCTTGCTCTCTCCCAGGCACCGTCCAGACACCGGAGGCAGAACGAGTGTCCGCAGCTCAGCGTGGAGGGGCACTCAAACGTGCCCAGGCAGATGGGGCAGCTCAGCTCACTGTCTACACAATCACTGGGAGACGTGCTCGCCATGGCCCATAACTTCACTCGGACTCAGTCGCTCGCCGCGGCTCAGGAGCTATCGCAGCGGCAGCAGCAGCTCACAAAGCGGAGACGAACAAGGAAATGACCTGACTTTACCTGCAGTTAAGTTATAAATACCTCGAGACACGCCCTGGAATGTTCCACACGGCGGCCGTTGCTCACCTGTGTAGACGTGGCGTTACAGACACGCACTGTGTTAGCTAAAACTGATTTGTGTTTAGTTTGTTGTCCTTCCCCTGCACTTCGAATTAGCACGGCTGGCTACGTATGCTGTGAAAGAAGTTCAACATACATACATAGCTTTGACTGGTCTCAAGTGATATAATATTTCTACAAACAAAACCCAGCAGCAGCATCAGCCAAGCACACAGCGATTATGGTTTGTCCCACAGGCTGATTGACCGGCTCGGGTCAGGATGTGTGCATTGCACACAGTGGAACCGCACCTTGTACAGACATTCTGATGTAAAGATTAACTTGTTTTTTTTCCCATCTGTGTCTTTATCCATTTTTTTCTTGCAAGGCCTGTTTGTTTAAGCTTCGCAGTCTGTAAACGTTTTCAACCTTTATCAACTAATATTTACCTACTGGCTTCATGCATCCTCTGTTCATCTGTGAAATATGTTTTTGTTTATTTATTCCTACTACACCGTTTTATTCTGGGTGGATAGTGGTTGTATGTATGATAATCGGAGGTGTGTGGGTGTGTGGGTGAGGGGGTCAGTATGTATGTTGAATTTATTTCACAGCGTACGTAGCCACTCGTGCTAATCGAAGGTGCGAGTGGGTGGTGGTGGTTGAGTGAGTGGGGGGGGGGGGGGTATTTTGTGAGAGGGGAGACAGATGGGCAGGAGGATGGCGTGAATGGTGGACGAGCAGGAGGTGATGGAGGGAGGAAGGGTGGCTGGGAGGGCGTGCGGTTGACTGCTTGGGTTCCTGGGTGGGTGGCCTCACGCATTACCACAGCGAACAACCCCTGGATAAACAAACATCGTCGTTCATTTAAGCTCGTTATCGACATGACTTTCACGGTATATTTTCCTATTATGTAAAAAGAGGTTTTAAATCTTCATAACATATAAATGATATTTTCATCACCTATTGTTAATGTTAACATTTTACATCTTGGACTCGCTGAGTTTGGTGGGTTCTATATATATTAAACAAAACTATTTTACCAGGTAAGGCCCACTGAGGTATGTAGCTCTTTTCAGAAGCGACTTGGCCACAAATGATAGCTCAACGACAACGTGGTTTATTACGTTAACATTTCTAGCAGCCAAACACTCTAAACGCACGTTTCTAAGTGTGCGTGTGTGGTGGGGGGAATTGGAGGACCCGGAGAGAAATCCAAGCCACCATGGAGAGAGAGACACGCAAACTCCAAGTACACGTATAGGCGTCAGGGTCGGGATCGAACCCACGCCCTCCTGTATACCAGGCGAGGTAGTTAACATCTTCCAGCCACCGCAGCGAGGTGTAAATATTCGCAGCGAGATATAAAAATAATTACAGAGCAACGACAACGAACAAGGAAACGAACTGACTTCACCTGCAGCTAAATTATAAACACCACGAGACGTGCCCTGGAATGTTGTACGCGGCAGCCCGTACTCACCTGTGTAGACGTGGCGTCACATTCACACACACAGTGTCAAGGTTGAAGAGTCGCAATTGATATATATTTTTACAAAACCCCCACGGTAACCATGAAAAAGGTGATGGTTTGTCTTACAGACTGGTTACACCGGCTTGGGTGAGGCTGGGGTTTTCACGGTAAACCGCACCGTGTAAATTCTTATTTAAGCTTTTAAATTGTCAGCTTTCGCGACCAATATTCATAAAACGTGTTTTTGGGTTAGATCGCGTAAATATAAACGTATCGTTTATCCGCCACCACGCGACACATCCAATGAGTAAAGTTTGTCACGTAAACAAAAATACATTTCGGCTCGGGTGAGCTGTAAGTTCGTATTTAATGTAAAAAAACAGATTCCCCTATAACCAGGGGTTTCAGAAACCAAAATAACAAAGAAAACACATTTTTCTTGTTTTTTACAGTTCGGAAAGTTAAATAAAAAACAACCATCTAATTATTTCAAGAGCCGCAATGCAACTCGGTGTGAGTCCGAGAGACGGTGGTGGTGGTGGTGATAAATAAAAACGTTTCACGAAGCAGCCGTCCCTCAAAGAGCCGCACGCCGCTTCGGAGCCACAGGTTACAGACCCCGTGCCCTGAACCAACTGGCGTGGCCGGCAGTAATAATAATTTAATAAATATAATTTAATTGGACATTCATAAAAATGACAAAGATTTAGCGATTTTTTTTTACATTTTTATCTATGAAAATTTTAATTATTAAATAAGTTTCCTACTGTCACTTAAATAATAGAACAATAATATTGTAATACTTTGATGGTAATAATGCAAAATGATAATAAATTTACGATGATTTAATAATTTTTCGGTAATGGTAATTTAATAATATAATTTATATTTACATTTACTAAACGCCCTTTAACAATTGCTCTCGGGGTGCTATGCATGGTAAAGCAGAAAATAGTAAACATCACCCAAGGAAAGAAGTGAGAAGGACATTTGAACATCACTAAAGGGAGAAAGACATTTTAAACAGAGACGGCTTTAGTGGAGATGTGAAGATGAGCAGCGTCTCGGTAGTCCCCTTGACCTCGAAGGGCAACGAGTTGCAGAGTTTAGGTGCCGCGATTGCCAAGGCACCGTCACCCCCCACGTGTGTAGCCTGGAGACCGTGGGACGGTGAGCAATGCACAAGCTGAGGATCTTGACGATCTTGATGGAATATTCGTGGCTGAAGGAGGTCATGAATGTAGTGATGAGCAATTCCATTTAAGGCGAGGGCGAGTCGGTTGGAGCTGACTTTTTCACGTTTGTGTCATTGCCTCTTCCTCCTGCGAGGATCTGTGTTTACGCTTTGCAGTTCTTTCTTGGTCTCAATCTCTCCTTCTGAAAATCTGTGAAATGCGTTTATTCCTGGGGGAGTTGTTCTCCCTGGTGCATGGCCGATGGTGAGCAGTGTGTGTCGATGGTGATTGATGTGTGTATGGTGAGTGGTGTATGGATGGTGAGTGGTGAGTAGTGTGTGGATATGGGGTGTTGAGTAGTGTGTGGATGGTGAGTGGTGTGTGGATGACGAGTGGTGAGTAGTGTGTGAATATCGGGTAGTAAGTAGTGTGTAGATGATCAGTAGTGTGTAGATGATGAGTGGTGAATATATTTTATTTATCAAGGCTCACAGACAAGAAACAATTATTTTAAATTACTTTACACGGGGTTACAAACCTCACGAGGCACCCCATGGAATGTGCTCAGATGTTTGAGGAATGTAAAAGCAAGCCCCGCATCACACAAACCTGTCTAGATGTACCTGTAGATTCGCGCCGTTGGCTTTAACCAGTGCCAACAATGGACTTTGTAAGAACATGATCACAATCGTGAAAATAACACATCCTGAGATGCGGGCTTTCGATTCCAAGCAGTCGCCTGTGATTAAACGTGGTTCTCCGGTGAAAGGAGTTGGTGGTTTGAGGGTATAGAGTCGCAATTTATTTATCTTTACAAAAACCCCACGGTAACCAGGAAAAAGTTGATGGTTTGTCCTACAGACCGTACACCAGATTGGGTGAGGCTGTGTTTTTCCACTGTCAATCGCAGTGTAAATTCTTATTCAAGATTTCAAATTCTAAGTATGATTTAGCGACCAATATCATCCATAAAACGTGTCTTTTGGTTAATCGCGTAAATATAAAAGTGTCGCTAAACCCGCCACCACCAATGAGTAAAGTTTGTCACGTAAACAAAACATTCCGGCTAGGGTGAGGCTGTGCGTTTTGTCCAGCAAACCACACCGCTGTAAGTTACTATTCAAGGTTTACAAAAAAAAGATTCCCCTAGACCAGGGGGGTCGCCAACCAAAACAACAAGGAGAGACATTTTTCCTTATTTTTTTTACAAACCCGTAAGTAAAATAAAAACGAGAGACGGTGGTGGTGATAAATAAACACGTGGTGTGAGTACGAGAGACGGTGCTGGTGGTGGTGATAAATAAAAACGTGGTGTGAGTATGAGAGACGGTGGTGGTGGTGATAAATAAAAACGTGGTGTGAGTACGACAGACGGTGGTGGTGGTGATAAATAATAACGTGGTGTGAGTACGAGAGACGGTGGTGGTGGTGATAAATAATAACGTGGTGTGAGTATGAGAGACGGTGGTGGTGGTGATAAATAATAACGTGGTGTGAGTATGAGAGACGGTGGTGGTGGTGATAAATAAAAACGTGGTGTGAGTACGAGAGACGGTGGTGGTGATAAATAATAACGTGGTGTGAGTATGAGACGGTGGTGGTGGTGATAAATAAAAACGTCTCACGAAGCAGCCGCAGGTCGCCGACCCCGTGGCCTGCACCAACTGGCGTGACCGTCAAGTAATAATAATTTAATTAGTATTATTTTATTAGAATGGTATTATATGAATTTAATTATTATGTAATTGGATCAAAGCAGATACCGGAAACGCGATTTATTATTATCACCACAGATGATAATTTGGCATCTGTGGACTGACGCACATCAGAATCGAAATATTTATACTGCAGCAGGAATCCGATGACCTGTGAAGCTATTTTATAACAGATGTCCAGTAGGAGCACGGGGTAAGAACGTTACAACAACAAACAGTAAACAAATATGATAGTAGCGCAAGTACAAGGAAAGTTAACAAATCACCATAACACATCCACAGTATTCTTGGTTCTTTCAGGTGATGATGATTGCTTTGTGTTGCAGTCGAAACGTCGTGAGGATTTTATTGTTTTATATTTTTATTATTTTATTGTTTCCCTTTTACGTGGTGGTGACTTTACCGAAAGAACCAAGAATATGAATCCCTACAGTCACGAAAGCTTTAAATCGAAAAATCTTTGATGTTGTTTCGGTTAAAAACAAAAATATCTCCGTGACTTTAGCGACAAGAACCGAGGAGTTTACTTCTCATCATTTTCTCACAATAACCTCGCCCGCTGACTGTTTACAGCTCAGATCTAGCACGTGGTATGGGTATGAAACAGCCGTCAACCCCCTTATCAGTGCCCTACTTTATTACGTATCGATACAGACGTGATCGATCACTCCGTAGTCCCTTATAAATCTCAGCGTTCATCCTACAAAGTCCCCCATCACAAGGGAGAAACACAAACAAATAGACAAACACAATGTTTTTACTCAATTTCCCTGTACAAGAATACGGGTAAAACCTATGGGTTGACAGGTTTGGGTATGAAACAGCAGTCAACCCCTTATCAGTGCCCTACTTTATTACGAACAATGCAGCCGACATTACTTAGCACGAGGTTACAAACCTCACGAGACACTCCGTGGAAATGTGCTCAGGTGGGCAAGGTCACAGACACGAGCTTCGTATTGCACGCAGCTGTCTAGACGCAACGTGAGACACGTGACACGTTCGGCTTTGACCACTTTCAGACGGGGGCCAGGTCCACTCGCTACGCTCTCAGTGGGAGCTTCCCACCGATAGCCGCTCGCTGTGGCTGAGAGATGCTGTTCCTGGAGCGCACACGGCAGTGACGAACCAAGACACGAATCGACTCTCACCTGCGCAGAGA